AATGTCATTAGGCCCCTCCTAAAACAGTCTAGCTGTGCTTCAAAATTTCAAATTATGTGTATTGTCGGGCCTAGCCTTATATAATTGTTTTGACTCGAATCTTTGTAACCTTTCCGGTGAACCCTAGTAGATATTGAATGCTCAATCTAAAATTTGTAGACTCTAGGTTATGAAATTGTCGTTTATATTGCGCACTCACTCTTTTTTTTTTCTTTTTATAAATGACTGGTATTTTTCACATAAAGTAATTATATTCGGAGCGAATATATGATTAAGGCTTTAACCCTTTCCAAATATGGTATTGAGGAGAATTGAACACATGTTCTCACTCCCACCTGCTCAGCTCCCATAGGCCAACAGAGCTATCATCATTTGATCCCACTCACCCTTGTTAAAAAGAAGTTTTACAGTGCATTGCTTACATTATATTGTGGACCACAATCCACAAAGGTAATGACCAGTAAGAGACTGTTTCCCTGGTCCATTATCATGGAACGAAGCTTGGCTTCATTCCTTCACTGTTGCAAAATCTATATAGAAAATGGTTTATTTCATACTTACGTATTCATTTAATAGTTGTCACGTTTTTTTAGTAACTAATTTGCTTGAGACCTATGTCTTTTTATTCAAATCTTGTATGGCTTGTTTAGTTCATTTAAAAATCATGTCGACCTACGTTAAAACTTGTTTTACGTAATTGAATTTTTTAATTGCTTCGTACTTTGGCATATTTTAACATGCGAAACCTTTTTGCTAAACATGTTTTGGATCCATTTGTTTTATTTTATCTAACCTACTTACGAATGACTCAAAATTAAATTGGGATAAAATGAATTAAAAATTTCCATAAACCGAATCCGTGGATCAGCATGAGTTCAAAAATACCATAAACCCAACCCAACCAACCATTTAATAGAATTACACCCATGTTTTCGAAACGTGAATCCAAACTTGCTCTCCAACCGCAACTTTGTATCTGTTACTCCCATGAAGAAGAAAAAATAAATCGCAATAGTCAAATTCAACCAATAAAGTTCGACACAGTTGGTAGATAACGTCATTTAAACATGCTGACAAGGGTTCAATTCCTGACCATGTGTACGAAAAAAATTTTGTTGGAGGACTCAGAAACTCATGAGGGATTAAGTCTTCCACTATTGACTGAAGGATAGCTTTGGAAAACTCAAATAAAAAAAAAGAAAAATTCATAAAGTTTCCCTCCTTAAATAGCTTGTCAAGATATAATGGAGTTGAATAAGCTTCCACAAATGGACAAGCAACAATTGTAGTCAGGCTAACACAGAGGATATTTCCCTGCACAAACAGACATTGCTAATAATTTTCAAGAAAAATCTTGAAATACTCGGAAATAATTTTCGTTTGAGAATCATATGGAAACTGAAAGCAACAATTCGATGCTATTATAATCATATCTTCTAGCAAAGTAACTGTCTAAAGAATATAATAATATTATCGTATTAAGAGTTATTAATTCGTTGACATTGACTCGTTGGGGAATTGGTCCAAGGCCAGAAGAACCCCTCTACCATAATGAAAGAAAAAAAAAATTGTTGATAAACAATTATACTCATACTATCTCGTATCTTACGTTTAATTATGTGACAAAGTAATATATATATATATATATATATATATATATATATATATATAGAACAAAAAAATATGGGTTCATCTAAAAAATTACAAAAATATATGTAATATAGTGGATTTTTTGACCTTTTTATCCTTCATTAATTAATTAATAACCATTTTGTCCCTTATTCAAAATTATCTACCAATCTACCCCTCTTTAATCGATTAACTTGAAGATTTAATCGATTAAATGGTCAAAACTGACAAAAATAGTTGACTTGAAGATTTAATTGATTAAATCGTCAAGTTAATCGATTAAATCTCCCAACAGGCAACAAAGGTCAAATCTCCTCCATAAAAAAAACAGATTCCATGCATATGAAGCAAATCAACAAGCATAGATAACCAAAAGCAGATTTCATGCATATGATCATATTGTCAACCTCGGAACGATGACAGCGATCAAGGCGAACAACGAACCCTTCCCGTCTTGCATATTCATCATAAAAATACTTAGCAGAATCTTCAATCAGTTTTTCGTGTATTGGAGTTTATTTGAATTTTGAATTTTGAATTTAATGTAATAGGAGTTGATTACAATTTGTATTTAATAGGACAATCTCGTAAAATGACAACTCCTAATAAAACGCAATCAGCTTATATTAAATACCAGTGTTTAAAAACTCGGCCCGGCCATCGACCCGACTGAGGTCAGGGGTCACGGGGTCATGGGTTCAACCGGGAGTCACTATGCTGACCCGGTTTTATATATTAAAAAAATATAAATAGATATATCCTATATGAAAATATTAAAAAACAAACCACCAATCATCAAAGATTCAAAATATACTTAACATAATTCACCAATTACAACCACAAGTCAATATTACACAACCTAACCCAATTAGGGATTCTATTTTCTCATGTTGTAGAGATAATTATCTCCTACTATAGACACATGATGTGGTGGGTCCCACCATTTATTAAAAAAAAGAAAAATGGTGGCACAATTTTTGATGTGAGATAACATAAGAGAGTTATCTCATATCAACATCAACAACACCTTTATCCCAAATTAATTGGGGTCGGTAGTAGATGAACCCACATGAAAGATACAAAACGGTTGAAAAAAAGTAAAAAAAAGAAAAAAAATAAATAAATAAAAATAAACAAATAGAATAAAAGAATAAAATAAGATAAAATAAAATAAAATAAAAATAAAATAAAATAAAATAAAAATATATGTATATGTAAATAAATAAAAGTAAAAAGAAAGGGACAAGAAGAAGTGGGGGAAATGAAGGGGAAAAGGACTAAAAAGGGACCATCTGGAACATAGGAATAACAGCGGGTCTAACCCTCCACCATACTTATAGCTTTTCTCCATTCCGTTCTGAGAGAGTTATCTCATATAAAATGAGATAATGATTTTCCAATTAAAGTATCAAGATACCAAAGTACACAACTCATATTCTAATGGGGTCACTACACTGACCCGGTTCTGCCTCTTTTGAGAAGGTCTCTGACAAAGGAAAATTTAAAAGAAATAAGAATGAATTTTTGTTTTCCATTGACAACAGTAAGGATTTCATTTGAATGAGTAAAATTCTTACCTTTTCTACAAGATTCACGGCAACGAGGTGAAGATTGAAGACATTTAGGTCACTAGGAGAGAAGAGAACGATTAGATTTAGGTTTGCAAGCATTTTTATTTATTTATTTAATAAAACAATGTTTCATGGATTTTTTTTAAAAAAGAAAGAAACCCGCAATGACCCCCTTTGACCCCTCTGACCCGAGAGTCACTGAAATTCGGCCGAGTTTTGGGGGTCGGAGGGGTCGATATGCATATAGGGTCCAACTTGTGACCCCGACCCTTAGAGGGGAGGAGTCAGGGTTGACCTGGGTCAACCCAGAAGGTGGGGCGGAGTTTTAAAACACTGTTAAATACAAAACACAATCAACTCCTATTAAATACAAAACGCAAGCAGTTCCTATTAAATACAAAACACAATCAACTCCTATTAAATACAAAACGCAATCAGCTCCTATTAAATACAAATCGTAATCAACTCCTATTACATTAAATTTAAAATTCAAAATTCAAAATTCAAATAACCTCCAATACTGTGTTTGTCTCATTCAATCAATGCTTTCACGCTCATTTGGGATATTTAATCGATTAAATATAAGTTTTAATCGATTAAATCAATTAAAAGAGATATTTAATCGATTAAGACGGATATTAAATCGATTAAATCTTCAAATCAACCATGTTTGCCAGTTTTGACCATTTAATTGATTAAATCTTCAAGTTAATCGATTAAAAAAGGGCAGATAGTTTTGGATAAGGAGCAGAGTGATTATTAGTTAATTAATGAAGAGCAAAATGATCAAAAAACCTAATATAGTGTGTCTAACATTATTGTAAAAGAAAAACTGATATTTTGAGTTTCTATCTTAAAGGACACGCATAATTTTTTTTTGAGTTCCTAGCTTTTTTATTTTTCGACTTTGTATTGATATAGATCCTTTGGTGAAAGTCGAAAATGCTATCAACTTCACCGTTAAACACCTGATGGAGAATGTGTTGTTTCCTTTTAGAAACCAAATGTTATGTACTAATAAATATCAAAAGCCATAATAAACTCCCAACACCAGCTATCTCCAAATTCCACCAAAATGAAGCACACTTTATGCTTAGAAAACTATAAATGAACGAATAAGTTTGTGTGGAAAGACTTAGGAATGAAAAAATAAATACATGTTGTGTTTTGTCCGTCACACATTTACGTTTTAACTTTTTTTTCTCTCTCTCTCTCGAATCATAATTGAGTATCGAAGTTTTCGTCCAAAAACTTTATTTCATACCAAATAATATTGCTCTTAGGCTTATAATTAAAATGCTTTTGAATACTGATAGCGTTCACACTTCTTACATGTATCTTTAACAAAAATTTATTTTCACTAATACTTCGCCCCTCATTCTATAAAAGTTTCATACGCACATACGGGTTTAATTGTGAGTGAAATTTTTTTAGAAAGTGTAATTCTCTTAGTGATCTGCCAACATACGTTAAATGGGAGTGTGAAAAGCTTTGATGGAATTTAAATTCTCTCTCTCTCATTTCACGAAATAGAATAATAAATTAAACTTATATCAAATCATGGGCATGCATAAATGCTCCATGAGCATGCACATGATCTTGTCTCCCCCATCCACCATGTTTAGGGAACATTTCAATTAAGTACTAGCTACTCGGTTCTTGACCTAAAACAAAAACTAATGTCTGTGCTAATACATTTTTATCATTATACAAATAAAAAAATTGATTAAAACATGGAATCGCATGATGAATCGATGATAAGCGGAAAAAAAAAAAGACAGCGAAAAATGTATAGCTACAACCGACAAGCACATTATTAAACTTATTATTAAGCAAGCACACAAATAAAGAAATAAGAAAGTCTTGCGACATAATTTGGAGTCATTATCGTTTCTTTTTTTCCATAATTTATGCTTAGACATTTCACATATTTGTTTGAAATATTATATAACAAACCATAATGATACACAGATTAACTATATTTTTAACACCTCCTACTCTGTCCATCTGTGTCTGCTGCAGCTTAACCTTGCTTCAGTTACTAAGTCAACTGGGCACAACTCAGATTGATAAAGCAGGTCATGGAACGGTAACGACTAATCTAGCTCCTGTTCTTGCATTTCTCCATGGCTCTTGGTGCTGACATAATAATAAACAAGTTTATTTTTATAATGTTTTCTCTGAGTAAAATTTTTATGAAGATGTATATTAAATTAAACAAATTGTGTATATATGACTAAATAGAGGGATGATATATGGAATCATAACTAATAATCAGGATTTATTTTCGAAATAAAAGTAAAAGAAATTAAGATACTAACCCAGTCCAATAGCTTCCTTTCCTTTCATGATACGCAAACGCTTGCATGATTCCACAAACATCCTGGTTGACATAAGGATTTTCTAATAAGAAATTTTATTAAATACTTATAAGGGAGTTGTTTCAAAGTTTGTTCATATATGGTTTATCAATGCTATGTATATGTGTTAATTAATTGTCATGGAAAAAAAATGACTTCTACATCTGACGTATAATTTTATACGTTAAGTTTCTTGGATAATTAGGACTTGTTGAAATATATAACTATGCAATATGCATCAAGTTTTCCCGGCTCTTTTTCTTTGAAATTATAAGGTCTAATTATTGGAGGCAAAATAATTTTGGGTTATATCAAGTGGAGAAAAACTTACTCCCAAGGGACATCACCGACAAGCATCCAGTCGCCATCCTTGTCTTCATAGGTTGGGACATAATCGGAGCTGTTTAAAACATCCATCAACTTACTCTCATTCATGAAATCCTTAATGCCTTGGGATTCACAATTGCCTTCAATATACAATAAAACACCAATAATTGACATCATCAATCACTATGAGCTGATTCAACTTGTATATACATTCACATGCACGATTACTAAGTTCCCTTTTTACGAAATTAAAATTAAGATTTTTTTGTGTGTGTGGTTAATTATATTATATATATGAATGTTAATTATGTTATATCTCAGGCAGAATTTAAACAAAAGGCACGCACATATATATATAGACATAAAATTTAGTGGTTAATTAATTACCAATGGTGAAGGAGCTAAACATTTTGCCTAAGGCATCAGAGAGCTCAGGGTAACTCTTGTACATCTTCAAGTCCACTTTGCGGAGGTAAGGTGCTCCATCCATGCTTACTTTGACAAAGCTTGCATTTGGACTGTTCTTCTCGTTTTCCTCTCCACTGTTCTTTTGAGCTGCAAACATGTTCTTCCGGAAAGACCGCACTGGTGGCCAACCCACCACTTGCGCCCTAAATAGTTTATTTCAATATTATTCGTATAATCAACTTTATAATCGGATGCTTAATCATGGGTATATAATGAAACTAAAAAAAAAATAACCATAAAGAGAAAAGTTTCAAGTTTCCTTGAAGAACTAGTTAACTATCCAAGAAAAATATAGTTGGTGATAACTGAAATCCATAACTTCTTACTCATCAAGACTTTAGAAATTGTTTTTCTATTTATGCTAATCTAATCCCTTTTTTTTAACAAACAAATAAACAATCATCTACATATATGAATTTTCTTAATAATTTCGTATATCACATATGAAGATATTATACTATGATTGATATATATCTGTGTCTCGTCAAAACTTGTAGAAGTAATAAGATTGCTAAACTAGTTGAAGGCATGTAGATCACATTTCTAGCAGTAAAACTATGTCGTACAAGACCTGAAGGCCTCTAGAAATTTAGTACTCTCTCTCTCTCTCTCTCTCTCACACACACACACACACATTAATTTTCAGTCAATGTCATTTCTTTAACATTTCTCATGATCTAATCCCCTTTTGGTTCCATTTCTAACTCTTAATTTCTCATACAACCACCCAAACCATAACATTAATATAAGCACTATTATTCTTATGTTTATATATACACTCAATTCTATATATGGAAGATCGATGATGAAAGTTACAAATAGAAAAAAAATAATTAGAATTTCGCGTGCTGATATTCAGTAACACTTATAATTATCAACTACTTACTTAGAAGGAGGCTTTGCAGGATCGGAAAGCAGAAGGGTCTTCTCCTTTGGCGAAGTCATGTGCTTGTCACGTGGATCTGCACCAGTAGCATCTACCTCCTTTGGGGAGAGATTAAGCATCAAATCTACAGTGGTTTTTTCAGTCTCAGTTTCAGAGAATCCTCTCTTCCTTACAGATAATTCTGCTGCTTCAGTGGCTATGTTTCCATTATTCCCAGGCAATCCTAGCCTGAGTTCAGTTTCCTCAAACACCATCTTCTCCTTCTTCAGGCCAACTTCCATGAATTTTCACCTTTCACTTTATCACTCTTTCTCTCTCTCTCTAAACTCTTCTTTCTCTCTCTCTCTCTCTCTCTATAAGCAATAAGCATTCAGTGAATTGGTTGCTTTGCGACAATAATAGTGGGGGGAGGTATAGGGGCAGGCAAGGCACGTTGAAGTGGGGGAAGCCTTTGCGTTTGGGCAGGGTCGGCATTAATAGAAGAATGGATGGAACGCTTTGTCTTTTTTAATCACCAATGGGATTGTGACACGTGGAGGAATGTGTGAGCAAGACTTTTCCCACCTTGCCGTGATACGTGACGACAGGGTCTATTTTTTCTTCCTATGATTGTTGAGTGGAACAAGTGGAAGTGGACACTCACTGCTCCCTCCTTATCTCCATTCCTTTTATTACTCCTACCTAGGGTTTCCTCGTTGCACGCTTACATGTAATTTTAACCAATGATTTTTTATATTATTTTTTTAATGCATCTTATCACTTGAAAATTCTTTTTGAATTTGAAACATGAATATTGAACAAATCTATTTTTTTTTACTTTGTGCTTATTTAATTCTATTAGAATATATATTTATATTTTTTGAAAATATTTCATTGGTTCATCGCTTCGTCACTAGTTCAATTCGGGGTGGATCTATGATTAAGACTTTAAACTCCTTTCAAAGATTATACTGAGGAGGATCGGATGTATGCTCTCACTCCCAATTCTATTAGAATATGGAACGAAGAAAATCGAACTCGTAATCTCGTGATCACGAAAGTTATATGATATCATATAAAACAATCATTTCATCTAAAAACTCAAACTGTTAAATGAAAGTTCATATATGATTTTTTATATTATCTCTTTTAACATATATTTATGTATATTTATCAAACAAATAGCTAGAGACATGTGAATTAACAATTATAATATACAAGGTTCTTTAATTTATGTATCTTTCATTGTGCGGACAAAATTTTTAAGATTAAATGTACATTGCATTGTGGTATTGTCGGTCTTGGATCCATGATCATCCTAGGATCGGTGAATTAATAAGGTTTCAAAGTCAACGAGTTCACTTCTTACGTGGATCCTTGGAAAAAAAATGAGTTCCAATATATGACCTAATGCAGAATTCTGCATCAGTTTTCTATTTAGTTAATTCGTTCTTCTTTCTTGCTCTACGTACTAATAACAAAATTAGAATATTTCCTTCGACAAGATGCAGAATTTCATTACCGTAAAACTTGTATTGTCAATGAGAATAGCCGTGTATGACGTGGCATGCATATTAAATCAGTATAAATTACTGAAAACGACAATTATTGATCTCCGACTGTGAGGATTTTTGTTCAAGCAATTTGTTGTATATATGTATTATGTGTCTCTGACATGCATTTAAGAGTCTACTATAAATCTATATCTATGGGGGTAGGAGTAATTGTCAAAATTAATACGTTAGTTATTTCTTAAGTAGGACGTGTTGCCTATTGAGAACCATGGATTTCAGATTCATGCTTGGGGTTGGCGTGTAGTCTATATATGATTATAACACCAGGGTAATTACTACAGATTTTCCTTTTCCAAACTGTTAATTATGCGTCCAGTTGTTAATTACCTTCTAAATTATAATTAACGGTATATCAGAACTAGGAATGGATTATTGCTGTCTTATTACTAAGTCACTCGCTCAAGCTACACATTTCTACTATTAGAATTAAGTACGCTTTGTGCTTTTTTGTAGACAGGTTAAAAGTTTATGTTGGTATGTATGCTAAGTGCTAAAGATGGTTCATCGATCAACAGAAATTGTTGGAGCAAAAGCAGATATAGATGTGCAATTATTTGAGAGGCACACTTAACTGTTTATTGTTACAGTGTGCATGTATACAAGATTTGTGCTATTGATCAGTGAAGTGTTGCTTCAGAATTGCACGAACACATGGTGACCACGTTCACCAATTTGCCCCAAATGCCCTCCCCTTCAACATTGGGGCAAACCAAACGGGACAGAGGGAAAACATAAAAAATACTGAAGATTGTGTTTAAGATTTTCCTAGCCAAGCTAATTAGTTAGACATCGTGTTAGAGGTTATATATTATCTGTTGATGCATGCTAACTTCAATTTTGAGACCCCAACTTCTTGTTTTGTTAACTTATTTTGTTTTAAATTTCTTGAAATAAATTTTAAAAATTATTTCTCCAAAAATAAACTTTTTTGAACATGCATTTAGTTTATGGGATTACGTACTATGAATCTGTGATCCTCATGAATGCAAGTTCAGGGACATCTTCTCAAGGAAAATCATGTAGAAATCGAGCCAATTACCTTATAAAGTAAAGCAAAAAATTCGTTTTTGAATTTCGAAGATCATAGCTTCTTGTGGAAACATCTCTTTTTATGTCAGATACAATCTAGCTAGCATGTATATATTGACTTAAACTTCTAGAGTACTAAAAAATCTTTTGAGCCATATATATATCACGTATTAATTAACAAATTATATCACTTTTATGGTCTGCAATTTTCTTTTTTTCCATGATTAAAGCACATCACAACTATTTTATAACATGAACAAGTAATATTTCATTAAAAGAAAGAGACTGAAGTACTTATTGGTTTAATTAATATTTATTCATTAAACTAAAATAAAGTGTACATGAATCACTTCGTTGAATACGAATTTCGCATCTATAAGGAAAATGGTATGTCACCCATGAAATATGAAATTTTATCAGAAGGAGGGGATAACAATGAGCATGCAAGATGGGCAAAATTTACCAAAAATAGTGTGGCAGCTGATTTCTCTCATGCCCTTTTTACCCAATCCCATCCTCTAATTTGGTATTGAGGGGAAAGAGAGGGAGATAAGTGGGACCCAAGTGTAACAGAGTCATGTGGTAAGATTCAATAGCTAGAGGGAAGAAGTGTGAGGACCCACGAAAGAAGCCATGTGAGTTTGTTGGCCGTTTTGTAACCTTAAGGGTCAAACCCTATCCCATGTGCGCCGCTGCAGGGCACCCCACTGCATGCCCTCCCTTCTTTCCTCTGACCCTCTTGTAATCCTTTTATTTATTTATTTAAATTTTCCATTACAATTTACATATTTGCGCCCATGACTTAACAATGAACATTAAGAACAACTATTCCTATCCAATTATGGGCGGCTCAATTGATGTAAGAGAATTGAGTTGGCAGGGAAATACCTCGGTTAGATTCCTATCCTATCTTTGAAATTAGTACATAACCAATTAAAGAGTTGAAATTTGTAAAAATATTTGAGAAAACATACTTACTAGTCATCTCAAATAGGTAATTAACACTGGTATATATATATAAAAAAACAATGATTCCTACAAATATATAGGGTAAAAATAAATCTTACTTTTCTGAAACCTTTTCCCTGTATTTCTCTCCCTCACTTATTAGTCCAAACATAGAGTCCTTGAAATCTTCACCCATTTACAATGATCATCAATACACACACACCTTATTCCTAAGCTGCCAAACAAAAGAAGACCCACGATTTAGTCTTCAGCACCAAGACTGAATATAGAACCAAGTGGAAAGAGAGGGACCGTACTATAATAATCAGTGATATCAGTATAGACCAATAATGATTTATTTTTCCTTTGGTTGTGGTTGAAAATAATTGTACAATGATTATTGATCTTAAACTTTAAACACTTAAACAAGTTATCTATTAAAAAAGATGATAAAAAAATAAAATAAAGGTGAGACTCTTTCATATAGGGTCCCCATCTCACGCTTGTGGCAAATAGACCTTCCTAAGCTAACATCATTTGCTTAAATATATAATTTAACTATCGTTTTTTTCAAAGCGTAAAAAGTTGCTCCTTTTCTTGGATCTTGAAATGATATACCTAATATTGTGCTTTCGTTGAGCTCAATGACAAAGTTCAGATTCAATTCCATGTTTACCAAAAGTGTACACACAGCAATAAAGGTTCCCTCTCTCTTCATCATAGCATCCGCGAAATCGAAATACCCTTGTTGGAATTTGGAGCTGAGGTTTTACATGGCTTTTATAAAGAATCTTGGAATACACCACTCCAAAAATTATCTCAAAAGATGAGAGTGCTTAAGGCTTTATAAACTTCACATTCGTTGTTCATACAACCAATGTGGGACTTATATATCTCAACACGCCCCCTCACACAAGACCAAGGGTGAGAGTGCCCAAAGCCTTATAAACTTCACATTAGTTACTCATACAACCAACGTGGGACTATATATCTAAACAGTTTTGTTTATGTAAATGTTTGTGATTCAGTTTGTGCCAGTCCTGCACATGCTGCTTGTTTAGGCACTAGCTATCTAAGGTCGACTTTAATTTGCGAAACAGAATAGAGAATATAGGCACTGCTACGATAAATAATTAAGTTATGTTAGTACAGCAGCTAGCTAGGCTCATTATTTCACATGCATAACTCACATATTTGGCCATACAAACTATAGATCCAGCATGTTACATATTCTATTTCATGAACAAAGGATTTGCTCCTTAACCTTACCAATGTCTCTTTGCTGACTTATGCATGCGACATGTTCTTTTTTTTTCCTAATTTTTTTTTTAAAGGCAACATAATTTTTTTTTTGGTACAAAAAGAACTTCGTTATTCTACATGTTCTCTTTCTAGGGAAAGAAAAAGAAAAACGACTAGGGCCTAATGAACTCAACCCTCATTGCATCTCCAATTGTATACATGTACTAAGCTCAAGAGGATGTAAGTGCAAAACTTCCCAACCAAAGTTACTTCTGGGCTTCTGGCGCACTTCTCCGAGGGTATGAATAATAAAATAAAAAACAAAGAAGAATTCGCATAAAATATTGCATAAAATAAAGTTAAGAAGAAATTAAACACATGCTGGAAATTCGGTGCGGTGGTGGTTTATTATTAACCGTGCAAATTACACAAGTAATCTCACTTTGAACACAGTATAATTTTTATGATCGAAAACAAGTTGCTTTACAGATGGACTCTCTTGTAGTTTGAGCTTTCTACTAAATTCAAGACATATCCAATTTTTTTGGTACAAACTGTTGGGCTTCCTCCTTCAATGCTAAGCCTAAACCCATTGAGGGGTTTTCTAAAAACCCTAACCCTAGATCTCACCTCCTCTATATATTCATTAGTTGTGG